TCAAATATAATAATAAATCTATATTATATTATAGTATAATATAATATAGTCATAATTTTTAACTATCCATAGTAATTTAATCTCATAATTTACCAAACGTTATTACACTGATTTTGAAATCAGCACAGCTACTATAATTATAGTTTACTAAACACTCAGTTGCTTTTTGTAACAGTTATTTTTTCTTTCAACACAACTAAAAGTAATTTTTTCAAAATCTACAGTAATACCAAACTAAGTCTATATTTTTATAGTCATGATTAAATGCTCAAGGTATTTTTAAAAAAATCATTAAAAAATATATATTTTTGCGGATGTAATTCTTCCTTAGACTATAAGTTAAGATTGCGTTTGTTTTAAGAGTTTTACGTGGTTCAAATCATGATTCTTAGTACAGCTATAATGTTTTCCTCTCTCACAATTGAATCTTGTGTTATTGTTATTTAATTAGATCGTTCTAATTTTAAACTAATTTATTTACTCAAATTAAATGATTTTTATAAATTTGTTGTCTTTTTTTTTTTTGTTTATAACAAATTGTTTCATTAATTGTTGTAATTGACTTTATGTTAAGGCGGTTTAACATTGTTTTTGGGCAAAAGAATGACAAATTATACTTTTAAAAAAAAAAGGGAGAGAGATTTTGAGGACCTTTCTCTAAAAAAAAAAAAAATATATATATATATATATATTTTTTTGCGGATGTAAGGCACAAAGAAAATCCTCAAAATATTAACATCCCGCATGACATTTAACAAAGAATATGAGGACTAAAGGTGTTTTTAGATTAAGCGTTTGGAAACCTGAATATTAAATGCTTAAAATTTAGACTAACTGAGTCAACAAATTAAAGAGTGTGAGCAATTATAAGTGTCGAAATTTTTAGTTTAAATAAAAACAATATGATATAATGGTTTAGGCTTGACTTTTCCCTTATTCATTTCCAAATTATGTGGACTACGATTTTTAATATTATAAGTAAACTTGTATATTCTCTCTTTCTTTCATTTTTTTTTCTCCATCCGTGAAAAAGTAAACATACCTGTGACATAGGATAATAAAATAGAACTAAACAAAATTTATATAATATTTTTTACAAAAAAGAAATTACAACAATTCAAGATTTGAGGTAATAAGAATTAGGTGAGGTGTAAGTTGGTCCGGCGGCCCGAAGAGATATTTCAGGCTGGTCCTAAAAGAGAGAAGATCGGTCTAATCCGGCTCAGCTTAAAATTTTATAAGGTATTTTAAAAAAAATCATTAAAAATTTTGATATTTGGGCTGGCTCTTCTCGACTTTAAAAGAAAGAGAGTCGGCCCAATCTAATTTTAAGTCTAAAAAATTTAAGGTTGGACCACCAGTAGTAGGCATCGGACTAGTCTGTTTAGCCCGCTTAAACTTTCAACTCTAGAACTAGAGTTATTTAAAAACATGTAAATATTCTATTAAACCAAACCAATTCAACCCGTAAAAGTGCGTATAACCGATTAATCGCGGATTGAATTGGATGGAACTTTCTTAAATTTGCAATTGTGCAGGGTCGAATGTGGATTAAACATAAAATGTAACCAACTCACACTATATGTGTGTGTATATATATATATATATTAAAAATTATATTTTAAATTTTTAAAAAAAAATTCTTTAGGGCAAGAATAAAATATGAACAGGTTAATGTTAATTTTCTTTTCAACTGTTTAGATTTATATTGAACTATGTGTTGATTTTTTAGGAGCAATTATTGGTTAATTTATGTTGAACTATGTATGAAATTTGAATATTTAACTTATGTAACATAAGTGGGATCTTTATGAGATTAATTATGACTTATGATTCTATAAATATAAGTTTTATTGTCTAGCATTAAATGTCTTTTCAATGAATAAAAATTATGATTAGGTAAATCAATAAAGATATTTAGTTTTTTGAAGTTCTAAATAACCAATTAAGTAACCGATTCAATCCACATTTATACAGATCAAATTGAATTGGATGATATGCTATTTGGATTGGATTGGATGTGAGTTTCTCAAATTTACAAATGCGCAGATCTGATTGGTTTGAGCTAAAAAGTGCAGTTTGGATTGGATTAACACCCTAATTAAGAAAAAATTTGGAGCCTTAATATTTCAGCGCAAAAAAATAATAATAATAAAAGAAAAGAAAAAACAACAACAAAAAAGAAACGGCGTCGTCTTTAGGACATGAACAGCAGAGGGACAGTACCGGTTCAAAACGACATAAATGATGCTGTAGTTCACAGGCATAAGGTTCGAGACATCACCATCTGCTTGGAATACATTCTACTAGTTCTGGATAACGGCGATCGCACGGCAAACACATCCAAAACTAGAGGTGGGCTTTATTCCCGTTTACGCGTCACTTTACATGCAATTGCAAATTGCAAACCATCATCTATATCTACATGATCATATCTATATATAAAGCGCCAACTTAAACATTCTGGAAGTTTCTGAAATCTTCTCTTGTAAACATGAACTCCGCCTTGCTTCCTCGCCATATCTTCCTCCATATCCTTACCAGCTCAGGGTACTTTCTCTTTCCCAAGCACAGAGAAAAAAAAGCTATCTTATGATTAACAAAGACCTTTTTTCATGTGTTTGTTGTCGTTTTCTTCGCAGCTTGCTTCGGTCATTTGCGGCTCCTCAAAGCGTGGGATTTGGGCAGTACAAGCAGAGATGGTTGAATCCGAGTTGTTGGGCAATTGGGGTCTCGGGAAATGAAGCAGAAAACCTGTTTGATGATCAGACTTCGAATGGAATCGAAAACGGGTCTCTGTTGGGAGCCTTGGACGAGTCGTCCTCAGCGCCGTTTGGGACGGTTGATGCTGAGATTACGCCGGAGACCATTGATTTCTTCGTTAGTGATGCCGAGGGCGATCCCGATTGCCCGTCCGAGGGCTACACGTCGATTGACCAGGCGCTTAATACACTACGCCAAGGAAAGGTTGCAACTTATGCTCATATGTATTCAACTATTTTGTTTATTAAGTCTGTACGATAGTATTCTGAAGGCTTTTTGGCAGAATTTTTAATCTGTTACAAATTGTTCCTGAGAAAAAAAAAAGTTATTGCAGAATGCTTCAAATTCAGAAATAATATTGTTAAAATTTGGAGGAACACTTAATGCATGTGACATGGTGTGCTCTTATTGCCATACGAAATTTCAGTTTCTTACTTTAAACGAGCTCATTAAATGTGCTTAAAGGTGTTAGGTGTTTTTCTATTCTAATTTTAACAGCCACCGTCAATTTGGAGGCTCTCTGCAATAGTTTGTTAAATTCATGGATAATTTTCAAAATTTGAAGGTTAAGGATAGTTTGTCACTAGTGAAAAGTTCAGCAGTATATGCGCAAGTATCCTATTATAGAAGCCGATATTTGCTAAGTGCTAGGCTTCTCTGAGTTATTGATGGTAACCAACACTCATACAGTTTTATGTTCTCTCTCTATCTATCTCTTTTTAGTTTGTGATTGTGGTAGATGATGAAAATGGGGATATTGAAGGAAACATTATAATGGCAGCATCACTAACAAGTCCAAAGGATATAGCGTTCATGTTTAAGCATGGCTCGGGGATTGTTTCAGTAGGCATGAAAGAGGAGGATCTTGAAAGACTTAAACTTCCTCTTATGTCACCAGAAACTGAAGATGAAGACTCTTCCGCTCCCACTTTCACAATCACAGTGGTAACTTCTTTTGTACTAGAAAGGAGATCCTTTTTTACCTTGCTTGTATAATGTAGACTGGAATATGCCATTTCAAACTGAATTGTTTTTGCTTGAATAGGATGCAAAATCTGGCACATCTACTGGAGTATCAGCTTCAGACAGGGCAAAGACTGTTCTTGCTCTCTCATCTCCTGATTCTAGACCAGGAGACTTCCGACGGCCAGGCCATGTCTTTCCTCTCAAATACCGAAATGGCGGGGTTTTGAGAAGGGCTGGTCACACTGAGGCTTCTATTGATCTGGTTGTCCTAGCAGGCCTACGGCCGATGTCTGTTCTTTCTGTCATTCTTGATGCAGATGATGGCTCTATGTCCTCTTTGGCAGATTTAAGAAAGTTGGCCTTGGAATACATTATCCCCATTGTCTCCATAACTGATTTGATTAGGTAAGCTTTACTGAATGATGTCTTTTGTGTTTTTGGAAAGTCATTAGAAATTTGCTCTCTTTTATAGCTGATAAAGTTCAGTAGTTTTTTTTTTAATTTTATTTTTTTGACCCTCTAAATCAAATTGAAGTTGGTTTGATAAGTCATCAAAGTTTCAAACGCCCTAAGGTTGTGCATATTCACCAACATAAACTTCCACATTGACTGAACTTCATCTATTACATAATTTGGAAGTTGGGGGCTCTTTATACAATGGTTCTTCATAGCTCATACTCTGAATTCTGCTTATAGGTACCGAAGAAAGAGGGAAAAATTGGTCGAAAGAACTGCAATCTCACGTTTGCCTACAAAGTGGGGCCTATTCCAAGCTTACTGCTATATCTCAAAGCTATATGGAACTGAACATATTGCTATTGTGAAGGTACCGTTTGTTTTCACACTTGTTCAACACATGGCAAAGATTGAAACTCCCTAAGCTACTACTACCATCTTCCTTTCAACAGGGAGACATAGGAAATGGACAAGATGTGCTAGTAAGAGTCCATTCAGAATGCTTAACCGGGGACATATTCAGTTCAGCACGGTGTGATTGTGGCAATCAGTTGGATTTAGCAATGCAATTGATTGAACAAGCTGGTAGAGGAGTTGTTGTTTACCTCCGTGGCCACGAAGGAAGAGGCATCGGTCTCGGTCACAAGCTTCGAGCCTATAATCTGCAGGATCTAGGCCATGACACAGTGCAGGCCAATATAGAGCTTGGCTTAGCAGTTGATGCACGCGAGTACGGTATAGGCGCTCAGGTCAGTTTTCTTTTTTAGTACACAAAAACATAGAAAATGAATAACGAGTCTTTTTGAGAGAGTGTTATTTTTCACTTGTTTGATTTATTTATGTGGCAAAGCAGATTTTGAGAGACATAGGAGTTAGAACAATGAGACTAATGACCAACAACCCGGCCAAGTTCACCGGTCTGAAGGGATATGGGTTGGCTGTGATTGGAAGGGTTCCAGTGTTGACACCGATCACAGAGGAAAACAAGAGGTACTTGGAAACAAAACGCACCAAGATGGGTCACATTTATGGTTCTGATTTACAAGGACCTTTAGCTGGGTTTATCAACCCCAATGTTACCAATAAAGACCAACCAGAAAGCTAAAGTTGAAATGATACATATAGCCTGTACCAATAGACCAAGGAAGTTCCATGTGTGTCATACAAAGATTTCTATTCTTTTTTCCCCCTTGTTTACAATATCTTGTATTATTATCATTATTATTATTTTTTTTTATTTTTTTATTTTTTTTACATTGAAGTCCTGTCTATAGAATTTTCCTGCAAAATATCCATAAGGCTTGTCAAAAGGTCCCAGACTCTTAAGTCACTGTCGCTTTTCTCATTAGCAAAAAATGAAAAAGGAAAACCAAAACAAGTAGGCATTATAAGTTAAAAGGCCATATTAAAATATATAGAATAATCTTAAAATATAGTAACAAGAATTTACAAATAGAAAAAATTTAAAATCATTATAATAGCTGTTATGTAATTTGTTGTATAAAATGAGAAAATTATTATAATAATAACTATTTATTTGTTTGTTCTTAAAATATTCAAAAATAATTATTGCATTTTAATTGGATTTATTGCTATGTAGTGTAACTTTCACAAAGAAAAAAAAAAAGTAAAAAATACACTACACCGCAAATTTATGAGAGCGTTTGAAATATAACAATTTTTTTTTGAAATATTTTGAAAATTGCAAAATTATACCGTAACTATTATGATGATATTCACATTTAATACGTTAATATTATGTAGTAATTATTTTAATAACTTTAATTTTTAGAGTTTATAAATGATCTATATCTCTTTATTACTTTTAAATATAACTTCTAATTTTTTTTTGAAAGCATAACTAGTAAAATTTTGCTACATGTTTTCCACTTAAAAAAGTTGAAAAAACAAAAGAAAAACAAAAACATAAAAAAACAAAATAAGATGAAGTATATTTACAGTAAATACTTAAAGTATATATCGGATTTTAAAACTATTTAAAGTAGAAAACAATAAAATAAAAATTTAGATGATAAATAAATTCAGTCGTTATTTATTTTAAATATTTTAAAATAGACTATTTATTTAATTTAGTTTTAAAAATCAATTCAATGTCTGAAAAGGGAAGGGTGGATCCATATTTCGGCCCACAGTCAAAATGCAGGGGCAGCCCATGTTATATAAGCCATGGGAACCGTGGAGGAGATGTTGGTAATTTCACGTGCGTTTCATTCTATACATTCGCCCGGCGTCCTAAACCCTAGTGACGGCCCTTTTGCTTACCATTTGCAGGTTCTCTCAATCGTCTTCTCATCCTCCTCTATTTCCCCTTTCAAAACTCTAATGCCTTATTAATCTGTGCGTTTCTGTGTTTCGTTTCTTCTGTTAGGGTTTCGCATTTCGTTGTTAGGCGAGGCTTCTTCTTCTTCAGCTTCCAATGGCTCCTAAAGGTACCGACTTGGTCCTATGCTTCCTCTTCTTTGTTCATTGTGCTCTTAATAACTTTTTTAAAAAAATTTTTTTTTTTTTTTTTTTTTTTTTTTTTTTTTTTTTTTTTTTTTGAAGTTTTTCGGAAGCCAGAGAAAATAGATATCAAATTTGGAGATCTTTTTTTTTTTTTTTTTCATTTATTCATTGGAGTTTTTTTTTTTAATCAATATACTATTAGCTCTGCAGGGTTGTGTGGGAAGATGATTATTTTAGAAACGTTATAGTTTCAACATAGCAGTTAATGTGACCTTACTAGCGGCTGTTTTTTGCTGGGTCTTGTTCTGATTTTCTGTAGCCACTCTGAGTTTAAGAAAGTGAATTAGTTGAGTGGAATTATTATAGCAACTAAAGTGAAAATGTGTCAATTGCTATATATGAGGTTCAGTAATAAAAATTTGTACCTCGGTGGTTATATTTGACATATTGTTGTCCTTGTTTAAGTCTTATCGTTTCGCTCGTTAGAGTTAAGAACTTGACTTAAAAAGTGAATTGGATTCATATGAGAGAAAATATTATACCAGAGAAAGTTGAATTTAACTTTTTATGAGAGAAATACACTTGAGCAAAAGCTTGAGTTATAATTCGAACTAACGAAATGAACGAGGCTATAGTTTGTGTTTTTTACCAATATTTCTACTCATGAGTAGGCTATGAAACTATTGAAATAATTAAGTTATCTTTATAATAGTATTTATTGGATAGATTATTCGTGCATTATTGTTGCGAGAATTATAGGGTTTTAAGAACGGAAGCTTAGATAATAATACGAAATTTGTGAATGAAACTTTACATGATAGAAGTAAAGTAGTAAACTATTGAAAAAGGAAGATCTTTTATGTTGGTATTGGTTGGACCTGTTTTATTAAGCATTTCGTTATTAGTGTTATTGGCTTCAATGTCACAATTTTTTACTGGTCTATGAGCTTGTACAAAGACCTTTTTTAAACTTTTGATATAATTAAGCGGTTACTACATGTGCTTATTTCCTACTGCCCCTTTTTTGATTCTTGACCAGCTGATGGTGCAAAAAAGGTTGATTCAAAGGCGCAAGCCTTGAAGACTGCGAAAGCGGTGAAATCCGGTCCAACGTTCAAGAAGAAGGCTAAGAAGATCCGCACATCAGTTACATTCCATCGGCCAAAGACATTGAAGAAAGATAGGAATCCTAAGTATCCTCGTATCAGTGCCCCACCGAGGAACAAACTTGATCAGTACCAGATTCTCAAGTATCCCCTTACCACTGAGTCTGCAATGAAGAAGATTGAAGACAACAACACTTTGGTGTTTATTGTTGACATTCGTGCTGACAAGAAGAAGATAAAGGATGCCGTCAAGAAGATGTATGACATACAGGCCAAGAAAGTGAACACCTTGATCAGGTAAGGTTTTCTTTACTCAAATACAGATTGTGTTGCATATTTTTTTTGCTTGTTTCTCGTCATTATGTGTTTTTACCCGTAATTTTAAATCTCACGTCCAGGCCTGATGGTACCAAGAAGGCGTATGTTAGATTGACACCAGACTTTGATGCACTGGATGTGGCTAACAAAATCGGAATTATCTAAGGTAGTTCATAGCTTTTGCAACTTGATGTTAAGAATTTCAATTTTGCTCCCATTCAAAGATTAGTAGAGTTTTATGAGACTTGGCTTCGGTTTGAATTTGTAATCTTTTATGCTACTGGTTATTATTAATTTTTTTGGGTATTTTTGGTGTTACAACTTACATTGGAACAAAATTTCTTCATGCGTCATGTGGATACGAGATTATGAATGCAAGAACTTGAAATCAATTATCAGGTCATGTGAAACCTTTATAAAAATCTTGGTCTTTTCAAAGTCATTTCCGCAATGAAAAATATACGAGCGTGCATCTACTCTTGACTATGTGATATAAGGACTGGTGCTTGTGTATCTCAGGACGTTCATGTTGTCTAGTGTCCTCTGACAAATAGTGAAAATTTTTTTCTTGGTAATCAACTTTTTGCATATCATTGAAAAACATGCCGTGTAGATCACGAGGAAGCAGAAACAAGGAATTATACAAAGAATTGAGGAACTCCACTTGTTTCAACAGTGAATCAGAATTTCAAACATGATCGTATTACTTGTATAAGTAAGATGTGTGGTGTGGATGGGAACCCGCCATTTCTATTGGAAGAAACAGGCTAATCATTATACGCTAGCACTTGTTTTTCCTCTTTTTTATCGAAAAGGTAGGGAGAATAGAAATTTGCGACATTGAATTTAGCCATTCAGCTTGATGGCTATAGTATCTGGAGAAATGTTTTTCGGTGTTTGACTCAGCTCCATGTGGATTTCACGATAATGCCTTTCAACAGTCAAGCGTTTTCCTTTGTGTGCTCAGCCAGCTCAGTGGAATGCGTCATCTTTCTCTGGATCTCAAGACCAATTCTTCAACCTTGGATTATGAGAAAGACTGAAGCTAAATAAAAACAATAAATTAAAAATAAAATAAAAATTCAATTTTCATCTATTGTGTCACGCCTACTAACTGAGTTCACGCCTACTAACCGAGTTCTGCAAGGTTCATCTTTCTCTGGATCTCAAGACCAATTCTTCAACCTTGGATTATGAGAAAGATTGAAGCTAAAGAAAAACACTAAATTAAAATAAAATAAAAATTCAATTTTCATCTATTGTGTCACGCCTACTAACCGAGTTCTGCAAGATTTGCGAACGTAGAAGCTCGTAATGCGCAGCCCTTTCCCTAAAGAAATCCTCTCGCCGTAGAGTCTGTGGCGGAGAGTGGTGGGAAACAGGAGACTCAAGGTCCTCCAATTTGAGACTCTGGACCTCCGTTCTGCAGAGAGGGCAATTAGCGTGATTTAGAAACCAAGTGTCTATGCAAGAAATATGGAAGGAATGAGAACAGCTTGGCAAATGTCTCAGCCACTCTCCTTCCTTGAATTCCCCCAAGCACACCGCGCAATCTGTACTCCTTGTCTTGTTCATTTCTCCTTCGCTTTCTTCCTTGAACTGGGTGATGGGAAGGGAGTGCATGGTGGAAAATTCGAGTCCATGGCTGTCAAACCGAAGAGAAGGATCGTCGGTATTGGACTCGTCTAAAAGCTGCCTCCTCGGAACCCCGTTTCTTGAGAAGTTGATCCGCTGAGGTGGCCAGCAGAACAGCACAACTATCCTCAAGTAACTGAATAAGATGATTATGGCACAGATCATAACGACTGAGGCAATCAACCATGGATTAGAGGACATTTCCCTATGTTTTTAACTTTTTACAATCTACGAAGTAGCAAATATCCGTTTGTACTCGGAACGGCAAATATAAAAAGTACTGAAACACGATGAGATCAAAGATCACTGATGTGGACTGGCGAGGCTAGTGATGATATTAAGAACAATATTCACCTTCAAGAGCACTAAAATTCAAATTCTGTACAAGATAATTTCGTTTTCTGGACATTTTTTTTTAGCTAGATGATTCCGAGGATTGAATTCTGTTTTAGCATATCAGAAACCCAATGAGGGTTGGAGCTAGAAGATATTACCGAGGTTCGATTCTGATTGTTTAACCAAAAAGTTGAAGCACAACTGTCGAAACAAATTTCACATTACTAGATGAAAGTAGAGCTTTAACCAAAATAACAAGAAGTGGCCCTTTCTGATAGAAGTTTGGAATGTTTAAACAAGTGAAAAGAATAAAGTAACTATATATTTAAATCAAATTTGCTTTCCATCTGAGGTACGATGAAAAGAAAAATGGCGATCCTCTTCTCTTGTCCATAAGGACATTCCCGTGCTACGAATGGACTAAACAAATTGAATAAACATTGTGATATACAAATGACTCAGAAACACTAAAAAAATAATAAAAAATAATAAATATAATAATAAAAAAAGAAGCTAAAGTTCTGTGTTTTTAAGTAGCTATGTCATTTAAACTTCAAATCCAGAAAACAAAAGTATCCCATTTACACCATAGTAAAACCCCACAAAATCTGAATATCTTATCTTTACATGGCGAACCCAAAAGTCAAAAACCATTTCAATGGAGCCTCTGTCTCTTCCCAGTAGGAATCAGAAATTGGTCATTAAAACTTGAACTCGAAGTAGTCAACAGCCTTGAATTGTTAAAGCATGCAGTAGAAGAACCACCAGCACCACCAAAATTCAACATTGAAGCCGAACAAGTTTGTGAATAGGGCAATGAATTGAGTCCCCTTTGAGCCACAAAGCAAGAATTCTCCGCTGTTTCAGCGCCTTTGATCGCAACAGGCGGAATCTTGAAAGGCTGCAAGGGAGGAGGGTTGCGCCACCGGGGGAGTGGTCCCGCCACAAGGAGCGTCTGAAGGAGCGGGCCAGCCTCCATAACAGCCTGCAACAGTTTCCCCTGCCGAGGCAGAGTTTTCCCTTTCGCAAGGTTATCGATCACGTGATCGATCTTCGCGGTGTTGTAGTCCTGAACAAAAGGCTGATTGGCAAACCCCATGTGGCCGGAATCAGCAACGTTGATGTTGGAGAATTCGGGCGACGAAACTGCGTCGAATAAGGAGTCGACGGGGGAGGAGTTGTGGGAATGGTGGTTGTAGTTTTCGGAGAGGCTGCTGGACTCTGTTATGCTTGAGTTTGCCTTGTTGGCTGCTGCAGGCAATAAGAGAGGGCTTTCTGGGCTGGAATGAGGAAGAATGTTGTTGGGAAATTGATCAGTTGGATTGGAAAGCATGATTTTGTTGAGGAGTTTCTGAAGCTGGTCTCTTGCTTCGTCTCTTTCTTTCTGTGCAGTTTTCAAGAGATCAAACAAGCTCTTCACATACTCTTCACTCTTTCTCATTTGTTCCTTTGCTTCCATTTTCACCGAGTCTAGTTCAACTGTTGTGCAGAGAAGCTTATGCTTAAGTTCCTCAATGTTCTGTTAAAAAAAAAACAAACAATATAAAGATTGGATTTTTTTTTTTTTATATCGATATGGTCACCAAACTTTTGAATAAAAGAAGGGATTTTTTTTTTTCAAAATTTTCACCAGTTGGGGTTCCGAATAAAACTGGTTTGAGGAGCAAGAAAATTCAAAGTTAGGAAGAAAAGCAAAATCTAGCAACAAGGGCCCATGGAGATTCCTGTTCTCTATGGTCAAACAATGCTTCTCTTTTGGGGGAGAAAAATGAAAAAAGAAAAGGAAAAAAGAGCAGAAGTTAAAAGGAGCGTGTCGCCATTAAACCTACCCTTAACAACAAAATTTGTGAAATGGGCCCTAGGATAATTTAATGCCATAAAAATATCAAAAGCTTCCATCAATAACGACATATGCTGCCCAAAAGTTTCAACCAATAGAGATGTTGTGTTTATGTTCATGCAAAGCCTTCACTTATGCTAAAGGAAATTCCCTAGGCGACAAATACTGTTAATGGTACGGCAAATTATGTTATGAACACTGCCCAGAAAAAAGAATTTTTTTTCTTTTTAAAAAGCAAGAAAATTGACACGTATAATTATATAACCCGGAATTCTTAAGAGAATGCTCTAGGCAATACTGCAAAAAGTCTAAAAAAAATTTGTAGACTTTTCACTTTTGGTACTAAAAATCAAGAAAACAAAAAAAAAAAAAAAAGTCTTGGAAAATGGAAAACCGGTGTCTTAAACAGACCTAACTGCATATGCCGTTGAAGGTAAAATATAAAGCCAATGCTTTTAGTAAAAAAAAAAAAGAAAAAAAAGGCTAATAAAGCATTAACAGAAACAAGCAGATTCAGAGAGAAGAGGAACTGAGATGAACATTAAAAGGACAATAAAAGAAACCATTAAAAAGAACAACTTGAATTAAGTATCATTAGCAGCGAAAGCAACCAAAACCCATATTATATATATACATATATATATATATGTATATATATACACACACACACACACATACATACAGAGAAATGCAAGTAAATGAAGAAGAAGAAGGAGAAATGATGATGAATGAATGAACCCACCTCTTGATAAGTCCACAATGAACCCAAGTCCTCCATAGTACTGTGAAATGATTATATTACTATATTATCACCTTCTTCGGCGAGAGAAAAATATGCAGAAAAAGAAAGAGAAAAAAGAAGAGTAGGGAGTTATTACAGAGCCAATTGGTGAGTCATTTATAGACCAATGAAGCCCGTAAAAGGACAGAGAAAAGTAGAGAGAGAGAGAGAGAGAGAGAAGAGAGAGAGAGAGATATGGATTCCCACTAAGTTCCAGAGAAAGAGGTCGACGTCAAAGGAAAAAAATAAAAAAGCTAAAACCTTCCATATTAGAAAATCTCGGGCTTTCAATTTTATGTTTATATTTTTCCACTCTCTCTGTTAAAATTGAATTTTATCGAAAACTCTCCCACTCTTTCAGGACGTTTGTCTCTTTGCTCAGAGAATTTCGGTCAAGTATTTGTGTGTATTACATTGCAATCTTCGTTGGATTTTCCTTTTATATAATGTACAATCCAAGATAATTATAAATTAAACGGCTATTTTTCCTCCAAAGAAAAAGTTCCCCAAAATTAAACAAAAAAAAAAAAAAAACACTTTACTTTTAAAAAATCAAGAATTAAACAAAAAAAAATTTCCCCAAAAAAAAAAAAAAAAAAAAAAAAAAAAAAAGCTAGATGTTAGTGGTTTACGGCTTTACGCGTTTTTGTCCGGTGTATTATACGAGTTTCCTTATTTATCCTTCTTTTTAAGTTGAATTTCCCTCGGTGGCCTTGCGAGTCAAATGAACAGTAGGAATTATTAAGAGGAAAAGAAAAAAAGGAAAATAATTAAAATCAGAAAGGAGACGAAGTCTAGCCAATAATGGCGCGCCATCGATTATATGATTTCGAAGATAAATAGGGTAAAACTCGAAGGAAAAAAAATCACTTTTTTTTTTTTTTTAATTTTTTCTTTGAAAGGACCTTTTTTTTGGGGGGCTAAGACTGACAAAACTTTACATAAATAATTCATAACATCAATTTCAATTTAATTTGCAAATGTCTGTGTTCATATGACACAAAAACTTATAAAAATGACATATTTAATCATATGTTGTTCTCTTTTATATTTATTTTTTTTATATATTTCTCTTATATTTCAATCCATTTTTAATATTCTTTTGATTATAAATTTTAAGTTTTAGGATTATGATAAGAAAAATTTTACTTTTCAAGAAAAAATATATGATGATGTTGTAATTATTAAATGTAGAAGTCAACGTATTAATTGCTAAGCAACCTAATGTCAAAATTCAATATTCAGAATTTAACACTTGCCATTTTTTTTTTTTTTTTGAAAGGAAACTGGAAACATATGCTACCACTTATACAACTTATATGTCAAATTTAACATTTAGAATTATAAATAATAATAATAATGTAACAACAACAACATTGCATAGGTGAATGCTTTTGTTGTCCAAAATGTTATATTTTGATATTGGTATAGAAATTTGGCATTCAATTAGATTAAACTAGATTATATTAGATATTCTGGTGTTAAAATTTCAGGCTTATTATGTTTTTTTTTTTTTTTTTTTTTACTTTATTTCTCTTTTCTCCGTGATGGTAATGATTGAGACAAGACTTTAGAAACATCACTGCTTAATTTGTTTAAGACAACTTTAAAAGGCCACTCACAATCTTTCACCAAAACGTTGAAAAGACCTTTAGAAATCATCGTAATAATATGGTGCTAATATGATTGCATTCTATTGAAACAATGGGCGTTGTCTAGGGGTGTCATATATAATGCCTAAATCACATATTCACAAACCCGAACGGACAAAGACATCTATACCAATACTATACTATATACTATAAAAGCATATATAAGATGTTCAACCGTACTAGAACTAGATTTACATTCTATTCAGACAAAACAAGATTGGGAAAAACCTAACTTTTCATAAAAGGAGATTATGTTTGCTACAAAAAAAGGATCATAGGACGAATTCAAGGAGAGATAGACATACATGATAATCTGATTTTTTACGCCATCAGATGCATTTAATCAAATCCCATCCCAATGCAACTCACATTCATTCTTACTCATAGTCGTCTCTATCTACACTAATTCTCACCCACAAAAAACTTCAAGCCATTATTTTTTGCGTATGCATTTTTGTACTCCTCTCTATATATATTAAAATCACTGGAATACCAAAAGGCCCGTTTAATTCGCTGATTCGAGTTTTTAATTCGAGTTGAGATGTGACTTTATGTGAGAGCTTTTTACTGTAATAAAAAAGTTAAATGTGACTGTTTATGAGAATTTTTTACTATAGCAAAACTTGAATTTAAAATTCGAATCGGTGAAATAAACGGAGTCAAAATAAACGTACCTCTTACATTTAGAGCGACGAATTCAAAATTCTTGTTCGTAATTTACTTTCTGCATGCACTTAATTAACCGATCTTATGCAAAATATCCTCGATCAATCAAGAGTTCTACTCTTGCGATTTTGAGATTTGGTGGTTAGTCCTTAATGGGATTTGACTGGAGATTTTACCGACAAAACCTCACCCGTTGCTAATTAAAATTTGATGAAAATATTTTACCATTTTCTTCTTTTTTTTTTTGTTGCCCTAATTTCTTTTCAAATATTTATATAAGAACCGGATCTATGCAGTGTTGTCTTGACTTTAACATAAAATAACTTTCCATATTCTCCATTGACATAAAATATTTGTACAATAGTTAGTCAAATATATACACACACATCACAACTGATAATATTTTTTTGTTTTTGGATTTCGCGACCTTCAAAAAAAAAAAAAAAAAAAAAAAAAAAAAAAAAAAAAAAAAAAAAAAAAAAAAAAGAAAGAAAGAAAGATCGTATTGTTGCGATGAATTGTACTAGGATGGTCCAAATTTCTTAGATTATCAGTTTAGGGGGTGGTACTAGATCCTCTTGTGAACTGCCCAAGAAAACTGAATTCATCAACCATATAATAGTTGACTTATTATGTTATTCTTATTCTTATTCCGCTGGGTAATTTTTCCCGTAATTAATCCAAATATTATACTAGAATTCAACGTTATTATGCTTGCCACAGAGATTTTCATATTAATATTAGCTAAGCGTTTGCAGGAGTAATAAGCATTATGTTATTCATAGTTCCCTTCATCCCTACTTCTGTGCAAGGAAACGGTACATCTTGATTAAGATCTCAAGGAATAAATAAAACAAAGGTCGGATTTATATGTCATATAGTCATGTAATTCATCCTTCTCATTAAAAATATACTCCCAATGAAAATTAGTGGGACAGTTCTACAGGGAAATACCACAACATACTTGATAACTCTAATAACACTCAATATCTTTTAAAAGACAATAAGACTATTAATAATAAATAAAATAACACTATTCCTTGTATATACTTGAATGTTCTTTTGGACAGTTCTACAGCGGGAAAAAATATCATAAGCATATTCGATAATGTACTCTAGTAAAATTTAATTTGTCTTTTTAAAGACAAATAAGAATAATTAACAATAATTAAAGAAACACTACTCGTACTTGTATACTTGCATGTTCTCGTTCCACCTGACAAAAGATAAACCAAAAACAAAACAAAAAAAAAACAAAACAAAAATTGTAGCAAATTTATGATTCAGTTTATTCCTTTGCATATGTTGCAAACCCACGTGCAGCTACAGAATTTGTGGCTGTTAGATTCGGACAAAAATTATAATACGAAATTTAATTCTTGTCGAATTTTATGTACAAAATCCAACCTGCAGATAAAACCTCGTTCAGACTTCTGACGGAGACAAATGCACATGGATAAGGTCCTTTACTCCTTAGGAATTCAAAAGATAAACGAAAAAGGATATAAATAAATAATTCAGAAAACAGTTTTATTTCATTTAAGCAATTTATACCCGACAAGCGGTTTCGGCACTCTTTGAAAAATTGATATCATTATCCTGCATTTGCATATGAAGGAGTGTAAAGTAAACCGTGTAATACCAAAGTTCTATACCACTTTAAAACCAGCTGTCCGATTAATTACTTGTGATGTTTGGTTATATATTATTTACATCATTTTCCCTTAATCCAACGGCTAGGATAAACTAGTATGGACTTAGTATACAACCATTTGTAGCGAAATAAAATGTAAGTATTTACGTATTATTCTAAGTACGTAGTTCTATTTGTGTTATTTTATATTTCAGTATGTGACTAGGAACAGGACAACGAAGTTGCTTATTTAAAAGTACTTTGGTCACTAAATACAATGTATCTACTTGCTTACACCGTGTGTACGTGAGTAATAGTTGACTATTTGTTTAATACATTTTAAAGATATGAACACAAAAAACTTGCACTATTAAGGGGTCTAAACCACTGTACCTTATGGATTATGGCCATATTTCCTCATTGGACTTTTACTACTTGAAAATATTCTTAAAAGTTCATGCACGTAGTTATATTTTGGTGTGTTATATATGTGCCATGTCCCAAAACCATTTTTTAAGGAAACATATATAGTTTTGACAAAAACGTTACCTAGAACTTAAGTTGGAAAAAAATATAGGACATCCTAAAACGAGCCTTTTCATAGTAATGTGAACGCTAAAATCCATTGGATGAACCCTGGTCACTAGAAACATATACCACCCCATTTCTTTTTTGTTTCAATGTCAACTCTCAATAATGTCCTTTCAAGATAACCATTTTCAAAACACAATCTTGAGTAACAAAGCTAATCATCCCTAAAGTTTTTTTTTCCCCCCTTTTTGCTAAAGTTAGAGGACGTTTGGTTGGAAAATTCAAACCATGATTTGAATCATGATTCATGATTCGTTACAGTATTTTTTCTCACAAAAAATACACGTAAATCAAAAATAATTTTAATCACATGATTCTAATCCATGATCCAAACATCTCTTAATGTCCTTCCTTTGGATCACAAAAGAAAAATTAAAATCCTCGTTTGAAGCATACATGTTCATTGAAAAAAGGCACATGCATGCGTATCTTCTATTGTCCATGGCCTATGTTTTATATATGGTCTATGGACTATGATCTATGCCATAGACTATCGATAATACTACTATAGCCGCATAGTAGGGGTATTA